GCATATATAACCAAGCCCCACCTCTCACGTCCATTACTTACCAAAGCAAAGTGCTTAAAAGTGGCAAAATCTTTTTTTTTTTTTTTTTTTTTCTTTTTTTTTTTTTCGGATGACAGCCAATAATTCACATATTGAAATATGCCTACAAAAATGGAATGCAATCTCTGCCTTCCATTCACATTCCCATCATCGATTTTCGGTGAAAAATGAAAAATTATAGTCATTGCTTGCTCCATATATGGGAGATAGTGCTTGCTTCATTATTATGTGGTTAACAGAAAATCATTTGCCTTGTTGGGATGATTCGGACTACACAGTTTTTATACCCCATATAAATATTAGTAAATTATAAAATTGTAGTTCTATATTTTCCAAAATAATCATAGAAATATTATTGCCACCTAATTATCCACTACAAGGGAAACCCTTTTTGGCTTCTCAATCATGTCAAGGATAAAGTTTGCAAGTGATCCATCGATCGATCTGATGCAGATCATTCAACTAGCGCATAAAACTACTGATCATCACGGTCCACCAAACTGACTTTGAATATTATCTCCCCCAATTTGTGCGCTCTTCGATTTTCACGCGCACCTTAATAGGAATTAAGCGTGCAACCAAACCGACCACAGCAAAAAAAAAAAAAAAAAAAAAAAAAAAAAAGGTTATAATTTTCTTCTAATGAGCTCCCTTTAATTTTTTCAATTTTTTTAGGGTTTTTGAATTATTTTTTATAATACTATAGAAAAAGAAGTCTGAAAATTAGCACTTATTTTGACTTTGTTTTGTCATTGTCACACCTGATTTTTTTTTTTACTAGTTATATTAGTTACCAACAATAATTATTATAGTTATATTAGTTACAACAATAATTATTATAGTTATATTAGTTACAGCAATAATTATAGAAGTCTTATTGACCTATTAAAACCAGTAATTTATGGAATATATTTTTCATAAGTGCTTAAAAATTTAATATTGCAATTAAAAAAATTTCCATTTTGAATAATGCGGATAGTGGAAGACTTTTGCATGGATATATGTGTATATAAATAGATGGTTAGTTGATTTATCTACAGAAGGATATTGACATAATGTGCTTATCTCACCCTATATAATTAGCTACTAAAATTGAGAGAATCAAGGCCATTAATTGCAAGTAAAGGGAAAGACATTTGTTGCCTTTGAGAGACAAAGATATATAACATAATGGGCAACCAGAACTTCCATGAAAGATCTGGAGACTACATGGACAGGGACGTGGAGATAAACATAGGTATGTTTTTGCTGCCGCTAGTAAGGACCACAACACTGTTGCTAAAAGTGGAACCAACATCTTGTAGGACGTTCACTGGTTTTTTGGCTTTTATTTAAGAAAGATGAAGCACTACTTCTCACGTCCTTCCAAGGACCATTTATACGTACAAATATATATATATATATATATAATGAGACAACTGTCTACAGTCTACGGTGTGTGGTACAAATCGTAAAGTTGAATTAATCTTTTAGTTCGTTTTCAAAATTGCTGGTTCCTAGCAAAATACCAAAACCCCACCACAAAAAAAAAAAAATGACAATTTGGAGAAGTGGAGAGTCAGAAGGAATCAGCAGGCCGGGGTAAACTTTGCCGCTTAGGAGAAATAAAGGGTAGATTTAAGTACTTTGTTGTTTGCATGAGTCGATTAATTAATCTTTTTTTTTTATTACAAGTACGGCATTAAATTACGATTTTTTCGATACAATTGTACAGAAATATGCAGCATATATAACTAGAGATCGTTTCAGATATAAATAAAAAACAGAACTAGAGATCGTACTAGCTAGATAGTCAATATTGAAGCCTAAGGAAGTAAATGCTTCAAATTCAATGAATTGTTAGTAACAATGTGTGGACTTTTTCACCCTCTAATTACCCTCTGTGAAGTGTGAAGTACTCGTCCTATCCTAATATTCGTTTTTAATTTTTTATATGCCGGCGAAAATCATGTAAACATTCATATATTTACATTTTTTTTTCCCTTTCTGCTGCAACAAAACTCTCAAGCTTGTACAATTGAGTACCAAAGTATTAAGTAATCAATTAGCAACAATTTCAATTAACTTACGATCAACTGATCCACTGGCAATGCCATGAAACAGTACATGAAAAGCTAGCTAGCTATGTCATTTTACTAAACTAGTTGAGCAAATTTAAAAGCTTGAAGCAAGGAGATAACCAGCTCTACGCCATGTTGTACTCTCTTAAGGTGCGTTTCGAATAAGGATAAGTTTCATAGTTCAAATCATAATTCGTGGCTCCTTAAGAATCATGAATCCAATAACCAAAGGTGCTTTTAAGAAAATGGGAAGAATTAACTTTGACTCTCGTGTTGAAACATGTAGTAATTGGAAGGAGTCCCACAATTACTTTCACTACTACTGTAAAAGGTCTGGTGAAACAAGGAGAAAATAAAAGGCAAAGAGATACAAAGTGGAAGGAAGCCATGGAAGGGCTGGGATGTGGACCCCACAATAGAAAGAAAGAAAGAAAGAAAGAAAGAAAAAGAGCGTAGAAATACAGCTTTATGGGGAATAAGGAGGAGGGTTGGATGATTGAACTGAAGTAAAGCTTCACTTCTCCAGTCCCTCGCAATATTGAATCTATATATCAAATATTAATTATAAATAACAAAAATTAATAATTATCAGGTTTTAAGAGAGAGAGAGGATTCCTTTTAGGAAAGGAAAGAGAAAGAAAAAGGCAAAGGAGCATGAGTATGACAGGACTTAGTTCGGCTGGGATTTGCGGTGGTGGAAGTGGAGGTGGAAATAATTACAATAATAATAATAATAATGGAACGCTTGATATATAGTTTTACAATCATGGAGTAAGCATATTCACTTTCCTCTTTGTCATCACTTTCTAAGGCATGATTAGAAAAAAGTTGATCAATCTTCTCCCTCCCTTGGGCCTCAAATAAAAAACATTCTCTCCCTCTACTTTTGTGTCCAACACACAACACCAACTAATTAAACTTGCTTCCCAAGACTTCTAGTTTACAAATTAATGTGTTGAGAGCTCGGAAAAAAGTTCACAAGTCAGATTACAATTATAATACATTATTACTCGGGCTACGTTTTCTCGGCTTGGTAATCGATGAACTTTGAGATGGCCAAAGGTTTGTGTGTGTGTGTCATATATATATATATATACATACATATAAAGAGATTCGGTGGGAACGAAGAATGAATGTCTTGCTACTACCACAGTTCTTTTCTTTTCGTTTCTCTATAAAGGTAGTTTAAGAAAGAAAACAAGGAAAAAGGAAAATGGTTCTTGCTTTTAGCGTTAGGTGGTAATCATGTTTAGAGAGTAGGAAGCCATGGGGCACAGAAATATACCTTTGTGATCCGTAGAGGGTCAAATTACACTCTCACTCTCTCTCTCTCTCTTTTAATTTAATTTTATTTAATTTTATTTTATTTAGGTGGGGGTGTCAATTTATGTTCATCACCCGGCATTTGCTACAATCACATAAAAGGAAAATGGTACTTTGCTATTATATTTTATTTACTCGGGTTTAGAGTAGTATATAGGACAGAATTAGCTGAGTAACAGAAGAGAAGAGACTTCCCAATGCCCGACCAAAAAAAAAAAATGTTGGGAAATTCAAAGGTTCTCACTTCTCAATGAGGCAATGGCACAGGTTGAAATCAAAGTGTAATATTGCTACCAAAGAGGTAAAACGAAATAGGTTGTCCGTGAAGAGCCGGCCTTGAAGGTTTTGACAAAGCCCAGTCAGCTTATTTTCACCTGAACTCTAATTTCATTCGTTAATGGATTGTTATCCAGACATCTTGGGCCACATCACAGCTTCTTCTTTGGGCCCATTCCCTGGGTTAAGGAAAATGGGCTGTTAGCATGGAGCAGTACTTTTTTGGAAATAGAAATATCTTCTGGGGATGTTTACAGCTCACATATCACAATGTGGAAGGGAAAGAATACCTTTCTCAAGCCCAAAAAGTGCACTCTGAACGAGTCTAAAATATCTGTCCAAGATAAATCTTTTAGAAGTTAGAATTTAGAAATTGTGTCCCAATTAGTTTGTTGATTCAAGTTTTTAATTTAAGTTGAGATATGACTTTATGTAAAAAATTTTATTATAACAAAAAAGTTAAATGTGACTTTTTTAGAATTTTTTACTGTAGCAAAAGCTACTACTTAGATTAGAACAGCCGCTAAGTTGTTCTTTCATTGGTATCATTGCTTTGTCGGATAACCAACAGTAACAAACAATTTGTAGATGCTCATCGCAAACTATCCCTTCTCATGCGACAACGTCTATTTCCGAGCCGCGAGGTCTATTTTCGAGCAAGCCACAATTCAAGAGGCGTGAGGCAGATTAGAGATCACCAACGTGTTTAGAAACACAAGTGACCTTGACTAGTACATGTGCAAAAACAATGTTATTCTGCACGAAGCTGCGTCTTCAAAACATGTTGCAAATTAGACCTTCCTACGTCTTACTGTATAAATTTCTGATCCCGGAATGTTCAATGACTTCATCCACTAATGATCTACTCACAACTAACATTAAAGAGAGGCTGAATGGAATGGAAAAGGGTGGAACAAAATTAGCATCCGGTTCCAGGAAATACTGGATGCAGTCAAAAAAAAAAAAAAAAAAAAAGTAAGATCTTGCTTACATGTCATGCCTTAACTAAAGGCTTCAAGCCAAAAAACATATAACAACAGTGATAACTGATTCTCCAACAAGGCAACATCCTATGCATTAAAATATCCAACATGAAATTGTTGAGAGAGTTTTTTTTTTTTTTTTCTTTTTTTTAACAAAGTGAATTTAAAACAAAAAACAAAAAACAAAAAAAGGAAAAAGGTTTTCCATATGCTAGAGAATTTTTTCAGATGTATAAGCTTTGGAATGCAAGATAGTAGACAACATATTGAAAATAGAACCAGCTAAAATAGGAAACAAGCAAACATTAACGCAGCAATCATAAGTGATAAGCACAATGTATATAACTATTTAATACAAGAATTTTCACATATATAGCATTACATATACACCTCCATCCCAATGAACTTGGAGGATTGACACAGGGGACAAAAGCTAAGCTTGCTTTCACAATCTTTACACAGACAAAGATGCTTACAAGGTAACAGAAGCATGCAAACTTCGTTTACTCGGCATGCCTTACAAGTCATCATCTCCTTCATGTTGTTGTTCTCCTTGCAAAGAAAGTGGAAGTCGAGGGCACGGCCGTTGCAGCATGAAGCCGTATCATCTACCTCACTGTCGCCACATCCTTCCTTACTATCTTTACTCTGAGCATGCACTTGCTGGAGATTGAACTTGAGGGCCGTAATCATGTTCTCATTGTATCTGGCTCGCTGTTGCCAAGCTCCAGCCTCGACTGTCAACAGCTCCATTTGCTCTTCGAGCTCCATATTCTTCTTGTTAATGCTCTCCACCTCTACTTGTTTCTCACGAAGTTTCTCAAGGACTTTGTCTTCCACAATTGAGATTGTCTGAAGTTGGGTTGCCTGGACCTTGTCTAGAATAGTTTGTCTCAATCTATCACCCTGGAAACCAAAAGGAGAATTAAAGCAGGTAAAAAATATAAACTAAAAGAAGAGTTTTAACAGATAAAGTATAAACAACTGAAATCAACCGGCATGTGATTATAGAAGTTGACATGACCACAAAAGGACCAAATATACAACGGCCTTTGAGCAACAAATTAATCCGTGTTCTTTTAACGCAATTAAAAATTTAAAATCCTCTTTCAATCATATAACCAGTCGCAGAAAAAACCGAAACTCGCACAAATGTTCGGAAATTAAAGTCTCACAGGACCAAAGAATCAAAATGTTTAAGGATAAATAAACCTGAAGTTTAAGGAATCGATCAATCTCAGTGTCCTGTTGCTGTAACTCGCGATCAATATCATCGCCAATGAGCGACAACAAAGCAGAGTCTCCAGTGGAAGCGACGCGGGTATTGTCAAGTGACAAGCCCAACCCCGTCGATACCGACCGTGGCTGCAAGAAATCAATGGACGATATCTGCGAGTTGTTGTCCAAGAAATCTTGTTCCTTCAACCTTTTCCTCTTAGGTTCTAAGTCATAATTCCACTGCAAATCAACTCCGCCGTCGCTGCAATCCGCGGCGGCGACCGGACCTGGCGCGAATCCGACTACATGAACTAGAACAACAGCACAGCGAGAAAAATTACATTTCGCATCGAGGCTAATTGAACAAAATGAAGGATCAGCTGAAGATTTGGTTACATAATTTGAACGCGATAATTCAGCTCAATTTAGCCCCAAAATGAATTACAAAACCCTAGGTAAGTAAATTTTTCCTTTTTTCCTCGGGGAAAATTAATAGAAACTTTAAATTCACACTCTT